GAGGACTCGAGGTCAGCCCGACTGGGGATCTGAGGGGCTTTCAAGGAGATTTTCGGATGTCATCGTGAACGTGAAGAACGTGACTCTGGAGACTTGATACTTCATTGGCAGTGGGCTTCCGAACCTGGAAGTATGAGATAACACCGTCCAGTTGGAGTGGAATTCGTAGGTCACCACAAATGATGGAGTGGGAATCATTGGTTCTGTCTTCAAACGGTAGGTGCAACAGTTGCACATCGTTGACAACTACCTGGTGATGTCGCAGCTGAACTGGACAAATGAGATTGTTCTTTAATGACTTGATAAGCAAAGATTGATGGAAGAATAAAATATAAATTTGAGATGTGATTGGGTCGTCATAAGCCACAGCCACAGTTACAATTGGTAATTCGTGTATGGTTCCAAGAACAGTTGAAAACCCTTCGACGGATATTGTCTCTCCCGTGTCATGTAACACGTAAGCACTTTCCCCAAAGGAACATGTATCGGCATGGCTGTCAAGCTCAATACGAGATGATGGCAAATGAGTGGCAACGGATCGCAGAGTGAGAACACCGGAGACTCATGCTCGCCTATTCATTGCATTGCCCACGCTAGATACGCCAGGAACATCAGTCCAGGGATCGTTTCTCAGCTTGCAATTCCGAGACTTGGGACTGGGTATCTGTCCACTGTGTCTGCAGCTGGGCCAATTCTTCGCTTGTCACCATCCGCGGCGTCCCTAGGGCCTGTTGCTGCTGCGACGATGTGAGCTGAGCCCAATCATCGGGATGGTAATATCTTCCTGGGTTATTGGGTCAAACCCCCGGCCTTCATGCCTCTGACCACGGCCTCGTCCCCTACCTCGGCCTCTTCCATAGCCTCGGCCTTGGATCTACCACCGCCACGCCCACCCTCTTGCCACCACCGCCTCGACCACGGCCAGGACACAGATGAAATGTTTCTTGTTGGGTCGAGTGGGTTCAGCGAATCAAGTTGCTCGGTCTAAGTAATTCATAGCCTCCTTGAAACTCTCGCGTAGATGCGGAGTGGCTTGAATGACGGCCTTGGCGGTCTTGAGGTTTGGGTCTGGTAATGCCGGACAGAAGCTTGCGATTACCTTGCGGCTCTCAGTAAAAGTTTCACCAGCGGTTTCCAGATCGGTGAAGGCCTTGGTAAGCCTTTCACAGTAGCGCTCAAAAGTGAAGTTGCGGGACTTCCCATCAAAGAAAGTAATTTCAATGGCTCTATCCGTGAATGCCTTGGTACGAGCCTGGAACGAATCACCAAGATAGTGAACCTTCATGGCCAAGTAAGCTGCTCGGCCGTTCTGTTGCGCTGCGCAACGTTGGACCCATGTCCAAACCAGGTCCACCGTGAGTAACCGACCGAATGATGGCCCAAACAGCCTGATTGTCTTGTACGAAATGAGGTCCAGTATGTCTTGTTCTTCGGACCAATTCTTCAGGATGCGATGGAAGGCCAAAACCTGGGTCAGCCTCATCTGCAGTGTCGGTATCAGGTGCTCCTGACAGAGTCACTTTGGATCTGGTAACATAAGCCAGAGGGGCACCGCAAACGCCTCGCTTGACATTCAGAACATTGTCAATAGACTCCAGAACTCGTCGGACATCTTCGACCTTCAAGAGTTGGGGAGGATCCGCAACATCGATCTCTTCTCATTCGGACTCGTATAAAGCCCAAACTCTATTCAATCTCGCCAAACTGGCTTGGTTGGGAGTGAACTCACGCTGGATTCGTGTCATATGAAACTTGTAGAACCGTAGTTGTCTGAGTCGCTTCTCAAAGACAAATCCCAGCTGTCGTCCACGATTGGGAACTTCTCTGGGTTGAACTGCTGCGGCAGCTTCATCAGTGGCTGCAGCCGCAATGGCTGGATTTGGAATGGTACCACCTGGTTTCCTCACGTTCTCACAGATGCTCTTGATATCAGCATCGGTAAAGGTATCGAGTGAGACGAAGGCATCCAATCCTTGATCATTCAATGCTGTCCTCGTGGCTAGTTCGGCAATACCGATGGTATTCTGTAGATAGTTGTTCATGGCTGCAAGATTGCCTGCCATATTCGCCTCCAATTACTTCTTCTCTTGCGGTATCACTTGGATGAGCAACAGTTGTTGGGTCTTCTTCTCTGCTCCTATTCCAACAGCAAACTGTACACACCCAGACAAGTAAGGCTGTATTCCACGGAATGAGCTCTGCACACCCAGTCTGTGGCAGTCTAGGCCAAATCTCTTGGATCAGGCGTCCCCTCTCCTTGGCTCAATCGATTTCTTTGGTGACAATGAGGCAGGAATTGATCCAGACTGGAGGGATCAATATTCCAAGTCCAAACCTCTGCTTCCCACTTGGAAGTCTCTATCTCTCGCTCCACTTGAGAGAGCCCCTTCTTCTTGAGAGGTCTTCTGTCGCTATGCCGCTTGGAGGTCTTCTCTTCTTCTTTTCTCTTGCCGCTTGGAGGTCTTCTCTTCTTCTTTTCTTCGTCGTTCTGTAGCTCCGAAACGGTAGCTTCGAATTGGCGACAATGGCGCTGCTTCGAAAGGAACGGTATCTTCACGTCGAACGGTAGCGTCGACACGTTCGAACGGTTAACAAACTCCTTCTTCTTCTTCTCTATCTTCTCGACAATGGCGCTCGTCGCGTCGAGCGGTAGTTGTTCGAACGGTAGCTTCGAGTGGTAGTTGTTCGAACGGCCGAAAGGTAGCTTCGACAATGGCGTTCGAACGAACGAGCGAATGAACGGTAGCTCTTCTTCTTGTCGCTCGCAACGATCGCAACGTTCGAACGGTACGTCGCGTCGTTGAGCTGATAAGCTACCACGCCTGATAAGCCGAAAAAGGCTGATGATGGTGTTGAAAAGAGGTTGCTATAGTGTTGTGTTACTACTTGGTAGTTGTTGTGTGGTTGATTTTAGTAATCTGGTAACTGGATAGTCATAAATCGCTACCACAGGTCATTTTCGGTGGTGCTACCGGTAGTACCGGTACAGATATCTGGACAGACCGGTCCTGCGCAAACATGAAGTGGTAAAAAAAAAGACCTTGACCCTAACTCAAAAACAAATGTTTTTGCCGATGCCAAAACGTGGCACCGTACCGTACAGTGGCACATGTAAGCCATAGCCGAGACAGCGTCACTCCAGACAGCCATAGTAACCCACCACCATTTCTAAAAACATTATAAGATTTAGAGGCCTACCGGTATTGGTGCTTGCTCGATTCATCCTCCATCCACCACAACAGCACAACAGGACCTCTGTGGAAACTCGAGTCGTGCTACTTTTCGTCTCCTAAATCCTTTTGATCGTCTCCTATTTAATGGATTTCGTCTCCTAAAAATAGGAGACGAAACGGATCATCTCCTAAATCTTTTGTCTCCTCTTAAAACGTCTCCTATTTTCAACGGATCGTCTCCTAAATCTTTTGGATCGTCTCCTAAGTGTACCATGTAAACTGTATGGTATCGTCTCCTAAATCTTTCGGATCGTCTCCTATTTCGAAACTTTCGTCTCCTAATTGGAATGTCTCCTACTGAATCGTCTCCTAAATATAGGAGACGATTGCTTTCGTCTCTTAAATCATTTCGATCGTCTCCTATTCCTCGGAGTATCGTCTCTTAAGTATTTTGCCACGAATGATATTTCCACAGAGGTCCAGAGGTTCGGAACGTCCAGCCCAAATGGATGATGAGGAAGAGGTGACTAGGATGGATACCTTGGCTGCCAGAAGCCAGGAGGTCAATAAAAAGATGGAGCTTAGAAAGCTGTTTGAATTGGAGGTGCAACAGAGAGAAGATGAGCTAGCAAAGAGAGAGGAAATGGGGAGGTCATCGCAGCAGCATCCCAGTACAACAGGTGACAACCACATGGGAGAGGAAGAAAGGGAAGAGGATATCTCTATTTTGAAAGCAGTACAAGATCAAATACAGAATCATCCTCAAGATGCCGGCAACACTCCTTCAGCAGCAGCTGGTCTAGAGGACCATCCCAGCACAAAAGGCGACGACTCCACGGGAGAGGAAACCAGAGAAGACGAAGAAAAGGAAGGATGCTTTTGTTTCGAAGGCAGTACAAGAGCAAAAAAGCAATCTTCTTCAAGCTACGAACAAAAGTCCGTCATGTCCAGATGACCGTCCCAGCACAACAGGCGACAAGTCCGCAGGAGAGGAAATTGGTCTCGAGGACGAGCTTGCTGCTGTTCCGCAACCAAGCTTGCCTAGTGGGCAAAATCTGTCAGATACGGCTACCATGAATCCAGGAGCATTTGCAGTGGCCCCCGGGACTGATCCCCAGAGAACTGCAACATTCATGCCTTCATTTGTAGGGGGGGCTACTTCTTCTTCTCATGTTGAAGAGCTTACGTCAAGCACGGACGCATGGAATCAAAGCACGACAGATGACCAAGCCACCACTCCCACTGACAACAATAGTGGATTGGCTGTGGCCACCCAAGTAGACGAACATGTGGAACCTACACAGATTGCTCGACCCGGCAATTTGCCTGGGAAAAACATACCAACCTCGATGACTCTTATGATCTATGTTCTCATTGGTAGCCTTCTAATTGTTGGAGTGATTTTTGGTTCCATCTGTGGGGCTGATCTCTGCAGCAGCAAAGAAGGTGATGCAGAGACTCAGACTCCCACTTCCTTTCGGAATTTTGTTTTGCAGGATATTCAAAACAAAATTGAAGAAGCTTTTGGACCTGGCTATTTTCCCAAGAATGATGAGCCAGAACCCACTCAGCCAAAGTTCAAGGCTCTTGATTGGATTGTGTTTGAGGATGCTCTGCAGCTCAGCACAGATGCCAACAATCTTCTTCAGCCGTTCATCATGACATTGACTTACTTTCAAACATCCCGGGAGATTGACTGGATCAATTGTGGGCCATCTACAACTGCAAATGATGAAACATGTTGGATTGAAATCTGGGATTCGGAGTTAGTGGCAACTAGGTGGCTTACAGGTGTTCATGAATGTCAATGGGCAGGGATTTCTTGTGGCGGAGAGAAGAGCATTACTGAGTTGCGACTTTGTGAGTTCTTTTCTAATTTTGTTGTTGACCACAACAAGAACCAAAATGCAGGATTCCTGTACTTATGCTTAGCTTGCTTCCATTATCAGCGAACAATGGATTGAACGGACCTCTGCCCACAGAACTTGCAAGTCTTCCAGCACTGGAATCAATAGGCTTTCATGGGAACCGACTAACAGGAAGTATTCCTGTGGAATTGTTTCGAAACAAGCTCTCCTCGTTCTCTTTTTCAAACAATTCACTAACAGGGACAGTGCCCACAGAAGTTGGACTCTTTGATGGAACTCATCTTTATTTTGGTTCAAACAGCTTGTCCGGATCTATTCCTACAGAGCTCTTTCTGACTGGCAAAATGTTCCGTCTCCATCTCCACTTCGAGGATAATTTGGTACGTAGCCTCATGTCAGGAATGCAAGAGAAACGATCTTTCGCGGGCAAACTACTCATAATTACTTCTCATGTCTGTTCCATTGCTTGTACATGTAGCTTACAGGAACTCTACCCACCGAAATTGGAGCATTGCACCGAGACAATCCACACAGAGTGCACCTGGAAGTGAAACCCTTGATTGGAACCATCCCATCCGAAATAGGTCTTAATCGAGTCATCCTCCAGTTTCAAGGGAACCCTTTACGTGGAACCATCCCATCCGAAATAGGACTTCTGAAAGACACTCTCAGAGAACTTGATATCAGTCGGACCCATATGGATGGATCCCTACCAGAGGAACTCTTTACAGAATGTACCAACTTAGGTTTACTTCGGGTCTCCAACTGTGGCTTCACTGGCACCATAAGCACAGGACTGCAGCTTTTGACAAATCTATACACGTTCGACATTTCCAACAACAAGTTCCATGGCACAGTACCAGCACAGCTTTCTGCTCTGACAAATTTACGTCGATTTATTGTAAACGAGAATGACCTTTCTGGGTCCATTCCATCATCTATCTGCACTCTGGCAGATCCTTTCAAGGAGGGCTTCTTTGAAGTGGCAGCTGACTGTTTGCCAAGTGGTGGCACAGGCAATCCTGTAGTAGAGTGCTCTTGTTGCACTCTGTGTTGTGATGGTGATGCAGCTGACTACTGCCTGTCAAAGTAGGGTTCCAGGGACAACCTGGGACACGGTTTGTCTTGGAGCCTGCAGCATGCAACGAGAGCTACACTATCTCCCAAACTGTTCATGACCTCAGTGTTTTTTAAAGGGAAGTCTCGCAGTCATCCACCTTTTGCTTTCTTCCAATTGAGACACTGTAGCTAGCCTGTGAGACAGACCTTGTTGGCTTGGCTTGGGAAGGCCCCTCTGGCTGAAAATTAGAAAGTCTCGGGGCACAGCATCAGAGGGAAAGAAGGGTTATTTCTTTGATGCTGTGGCGCACCAATAGTTGGGAAGCAACCACCCTCCCCACCTTTGCTGGACCAAATAATATATATATAGCTGCTATGGGTATGGCTTCTGGCTACGTGGTTATCACTGAGTTCGACATTCTGCTGGCGGCGCTGATAGCCCTGCATTTGGACCACATTTTGGATGAGATTCGTATTGGACAGAGAAGATTGGCCTGAATAATCTAAAGAGAGAAACTGTTTGCGGCCTCGGGTGTTGAAAAGGGCCGCAAAAACAATTAACTCTGGCATGCATTTATCAATGATAGTACTAGGTAGCTAGCTAGCTAGAGCTAGGATGCTTGTGGTCTAACCAGTTGGTATTTCATTTTTACAAACTGTGGCCGGGAAAGATCTGTTCTGTTTTGTCTATGACGCGCACTTCCGAGCACTGCCTAGTCTGTGAGTGTCAGTCTGCATCCTGCATCCCACGAGCTACTGTATCCCACGCGTTTCGGGGAACCTTTTTTCTCATTTTGTTCTGTCTTTGGTTTGGAGGTTCCTTCCTTCCTTCCTTCCTGCTAGCTACCAGCAAAGTAGCTATTACAGTAGATACCTGGAGCTGCTTCCATGCCTACCGCATGATAGACAGGCTCCTGTGAGTGTGGCTTGCGAATGCACCAACAGGATTGCCCCTTGATTCCAGACCACCATGAATACTTCCAGATTTATTTGTTATGGAGACCTTGCTTGTATTCGCACGCTTCGAAGGCTACGGCACCTAAAAGGAACTGCTATTCATACAAAATTTTGTAGTAGCACGCATCTACTAAGGCCAGAATGCAGGATCCCCGCCCTTGGACGAGAACAAGCCGCTCTTCTTTTGCACACTGCTGTCGGATTCAGGACAGCCTGCTACGTGCTCCTCCTCGCAAGCAGGAAAACCCTGACAAGTGCATGTATCTCCATCCACAACTCTGCTACAAATGGCTTCAATGTTACCTTCACATGCCGGCACACCAAATGGACATTGGAGGCCATCACAGCAGCTACACTCATCGAAGAACACAGATGTTTCGGGGCAACCAGCCTGTCCAACACAACTGACGTAGGAATCCACAAATGAGGTGCCCACACAGCTGTTTTGACGGGTAACAATGCTCCTGAAGAAGGTGGCAGACACACAGGCCTCTCCGGGGTAGATGGTAAACCATCCAGCTTCCGCAAGATCTATGCAAGCCACAACGGAGTCTTCAAACGATGCTTGATTGCAAACCGAACCCGAACATAGTATGGTACAGTTCCTTGCATCCAGACCCAGGCAACCATTGATACCATCGTCACACATGACAATCTCCTCATTTAGATTGCACGTCTCGGCGGGGCGGAATGGAGGTAAAGACGGTAGCTCAATTCCTTCACGATGAAAAAGACAAACATAGAAAATGTCAGACATGCTGCAATATTGGAATCAGGATAAGAGAACAACTACTTCGGTATCGATGCTCGCACTGTCCATACCTTTACATTTTGGATGCTTCCAGTCCGCACATGTGCGTCCCGCATATGTACTGTTACAAAACGTCACTTCATCCTGATCACAGCTCAGGCTACCCAGGATGCAATTATACTGAGAGGATTCCGATTTTGCCTTAAGTAGCCACAGGAGGTATCCAATGAATGCGTGCCTCTCTCTTTCCTCTCTCAGTTTGCCAGTACGGTATACTCAATCAATCGTGCAACCAGCTCCCAGTACGGATCGATCGTTGGATCCTACAGTCGCATACTCAAGCCATCGCCATACGAATCCCAGTATGGATCGATCGTTTCTACGCCGTTGTCGCATACTCAAGCCATCGACGTACGAATCGTTCCTGTATACTCAACCAAGAGGCAAACAACGTGCGATTCCCGTAGGATCGAGGCGATCGATCCTCTAGCTATACCGGTAGCTAGCAGTTCAGTTCAGTTCAGTTCAGTTCATTTCTTCATTTCTTCATTTCTTCATTTCAGAGCTCATTATTTTCATTCCTTCAACTCTATAAAGGAACTCTGCCAAAATTCCAGCTCAGCAACCAACAATTGCTTAGTTGACCAAACAATTCCTCCACCATGGCCAACAATGCCAATGATGGACAAGCCATTGGCTTGGAAGACGTGCCGGAACTTCCTGAAGCACCCACGGAACAGCCCAAGTACAACCGAGATTACCATGGACTCTTCGTAAAATTCATGAGCTGGCTGTACAAGAGGACGTACACCAAGGCGGTCGGCATCCAACCACACCATGTTGCCAACTACTTGAAAGTGCGTGCATATGGTACGACCGACGTTGACTTCAAAAATGTTGAGCAGAATCCAATTTGTGCTATGTTCGGATTGGCCAATTACATGGAGGCGTCCTTCAACTATGGGTATGGCGCCGCTGGTCGGGAAAATGCATTCCTCTTTACTCCCGAAAGCGATCCCAAGTTGGCTCCCAAGCACTGCAACGCAGCCTACCGCAACATTTTCAAGGCTGTCTTTTGTCGGCTCCATTTCTGGCTGTGGTGGTCCTCATTGCTGGTGTTCTTGGGAGTCACAGCATTCGGAAGTTTGCTGCAACTCTGGCAAGAGGGATGGGTGCTACTGCTGACGAAGTTGACATTCGAGGTCGCTGGAAGGCTCGCTTGTCTGGACGGGTTGTTGATGCCTACATTTTGCCTGAACAGCCCTGGATCGACGCCCGTGTTGCCAAAAAGCTTTGCATGGGGGCTCCTAGATTGCCTACAAGCTAAATCCGGATGCCAAGAGAGTGACTCCCAAATGGTTGACCGATCAGTCGTGCCTAATACCCACAATTTCTACAGTGGTGTCAACGACATTTCGCTGCAATTGGCTCTGCCTCTTTTGTGGGCCACCCTTGACGAATCTTGGGAGGAGAGGATGGATTCTCCGGTTCGTACCAGGATTGTACAAGCTTATTCGTCCATCAAGGATGATCTTCCTGTGGGCGTCAACCCTGTGGTGAAAGTGCCTTTCTCGATTTGGACGCACAACACCAAGCTCCACATCAACGAAATCGAGCCGATGGATACTGGAGGTGGCGGCGGCACGGCTGGTGGCACGACGGGAACTACAATGGGCCAGGGAACTACGACAGGCCAGGCAAGCAGTCGTCAAGTTGTGAATGAGTCTCGGCAGTTGATGGCTATGCAAATGCAGCAGCTGGTACGAACGAACGAGGAGATTCTGGCACGGATTATCGCACAGCACAACCAGCTCCAGCAGCTCATTGCACAGGAAGGTAGGACCCGCGACAGTTTGGCTGCTGCATTGAGAGGCTGGTTGGAGACTTGGCTTGGTGCGGAGCTGAGGAAACTCAATGGCAACATTTGCAGGCAAGTGTGGAATTGTGCCTGTTGGCTATTGCAACCATGTCTATTACTGCTTCTAACTCTGCATTTTTGTTTGCTTTTTAGGATTGCTGTGCAGCCTCCTAGGATTGCCACACCTGGCCAGGTAGATGCTAATTTTTTAGAAATGGATTGACTTTGGAAAGAACTAGCCGGAATGGTCAGACTAGCCTCAGGTACAGAAGTGCCGTGGTGGCTACTCCTGCTGACTGTAGGCCTGCCAAGCAAGCTATCCAAGTACAGGAATATTGCCCTTGCTTGGACAGAGTGGATTGATGGTGAGGTGGAAACAAGCCAGCCAAGAACTTCAGTCCTGAAGAGATCAGGGCTTGCAAGTCTACCTATGCCAGGAGGAAGCCACTCTGGGACCTCATGGCTAAACTTGTCAATTCTGGCAAAGCTCCAGCTTGGGTCATCAGCAAGATCGACCATTACTACACAGGAAGAGTTTTGAATATTGCTGCTGCCATCTAGACTGATACCATTGCAGGCAGTCTGCATGGGGATCTTTGCATTGTTCGTGCTCAGTAGAGTTTACTTTAGTTTGATAAGCATCCTAGCTATGCCTAATAGTGAGTTTGTTCTTATTGCATCTGCATGAACTTGTGGTGTTTTTGTGGTAGCGTCGTTTCTGAGGACTTGTGCTTTTTCGAGCGTGCTACTACTAGTGGTACATACTAGTAGTGAGCGATTTCGATGACTTGGGCTTTTCGAAAACGTACTCAACCAAAGAGGTGCATTGTTATCTTAACAGTGAGTAGTAGAGGTGCGAGCTTCATTTTACTTATGGTTGAGGCGGTGACGTTCTCAGCGGTATAAACGAACAATGGAATATAGAGGAACGATCGACCAGCATATACGAGGAGTTGGGTACCTCGATACCTCTGCATACCTCCTGTAGGATGCCTACTACAGGTACGGGGTCTCAGTATTTCTCTCAGAACTGGAATATACATTTATGTACCGTACCGGAGCTGTACCGGTATCCTGCATCTTTGCTCTTTGAGATACATGTACATCAGCGATCTGGGAAAGATGCACCGGCACCTCCGTACCGGGACCGTTCGACGTTTTTCACTCAGGATTTAGAATTGCCCAGACTGACTCAGAATGTGTAAGGGATTGTTTAAGGGATTGTTGTTAAGGGATTGTTTAGGGGATTCTTCCAGATTTAAAGGATTGTTTGATAAGGGATTGTTTGCTCTTGGAGCGTTCCGCAACGATCGAGCAAACGATTTACGGTCGGATAGTCCTTGGGTAGAGTTTGAAGCTCTACCATATAATTAGGGTAGAGTTACGATGTATCCTAAGGTCTGGCCATTGTCAGGCTTTTTTTGCTCGACAACACGAAAAATCGAGCTAAAGCTGCTGCTGCACGAATTCAAAGAACGTTTGCTGTGCCTGAGCAGACACCTTCTGCTTCTGGGTACTTTCTCTCTTATATCTCTGAGTGGCAAAGAGCCCTTGTCTGCCACATTTGGGGTGCTGTAGCCTTAGAGATAACAGAATCAGCAAATAGGAGGCAAAATTGGCGATACAGCCGTATAAGACTTGCTGAGCACCTCTGAGTGGCAGGTTAAGTCTCTTCCTCTTCTCTACTATTTTCCGAACAAGTTTGTTTATGGTAGCTATCGCCGAAAAGATCCAGAAGAGGTGCGAGAAGCACCATCTTGATAGCAGCTTTTGCTCGATTTTTCGTTTTGTTGAGCGATGTGCGCCGGTCGATAGGATACATCGTTATAAAGGGATTGTTTCATAAGGGATTGTTTTTAAAAGGGATTGTTGAAAATCTAGGGGATAGTTTTTTATTAAGGGATTGTTTCAAAGGGTTTCCAGTCATGCAAAATTTCAATATTTTTTAAATCCTGAGTGAAAAACGTCGGACGGTCCGGTACCGTACCTGGTATTAATACCGGTACCTGGTACCTGGTACCGTACTATTATACCGTACTGCGAGGGCTTGTCAAGAAAGATCCTATTGGCCTCATTTTTCGTTTTGCTGTCGTGTATACATGTAGCTATAGAGGACAGCAAGAAAAGACCAAGTCTGTTGTTATTGATTGTGTTGTTGCTTACTTTGAACGATGATGACGGAACCGGCTCCTGACGAGCCTATTCAAGTCGTCGTGTTAGAAGAAGAAGACGCAAAGGGAGCTGAGAGTTTGGAGAACGAAGAGATCGATGAAGAGGCTTATCGTGAGTTTTCGTCGGAAACTGAACGTTTGCTGCCAGCTGATGCGAAGTAAGTGTGTTGCTGGAGGTGGCTTCTATGAGATCAAAGCGATTGTAGTGCACTGACAATGTTGTTTTGTGTGCTCAGTAGCAGTGATTTGGGCCACAGAATGCGTGCCGAGAACCTTACAACCCGAGCGGAGAACCAAGCAATCCTCGCGGAGAACAAGCATTTGCGCTTCAAACTGGCAGACGTGGAGCAGAAACAGATGGAAATGGAGAAGAAAGTGCTGGAAATGGCAGATCTAGAGAAGAAAGTGTTTGAGCTTACCAACACAACCAAGAACTACGGCCAGAAAATCGAAACGCTCGAGGCAGCCCAGGAAGAGACGCCAAGCAAATGCAAGACACTGCCCGAAGATACCTTCTCCTTTCTCTTGACCTCATCAAAGGCCAGTCCGTCGTTTTGGCTGGGGACAGTGGTATTTGTTTTCCAAATGGCAATCTTCGTGCTGTTCTATCTGGACATGCTTGCTCTGGGCGAAGAGGGCAACAAGTTTGGCATTCCAGCCAACGCAAATCAAGAGCTGCGTTTCACGCAATTCATTGCTATCATCGTTGCGGTAAGGATCCTTACTGGGATTTCTCTAGTTGGATCTTGACGCCCCTGCTCACCCTCATACTTGCTTTGCCAGATTTTTACTCAAGGGGACTTGCTGACTTCTTTGGATTTGTTCCATGATGGCTACTGTGAAGATCTACACACGTTCTTTCCAAAGGCTACCCGTCCTAAATATCTGTATTCACTGTTGGCACGGGTGGCTGAAGGCGCCTTTGGTCTCTTTGTCACGTTTCTTTTGATTGTTACAAGTGATACTGTGGTGAATCTCCTGCTGAGTTTCACAGCAATCGGATTCGTTTCAAGCTTGGATGATATCTTTTTCTTTCTCTCAGCGCAAGGATTTATAGGAAAGAATTGCAAAATTGATGCTTCCAAAGTCACAACGACTGAGTATCAGTTGGAAAAGAAACGAGGCCGCGCCGCGAAAATCATTCTTCTATTGTCCATACTTACTGGCCTGCTGGTTGGCTTGGGTGTTGTCGTATCGAATCAGAACAATGGGGTTTACCTGTGTAAAACCATATTCGTCCAGGTACGTCAATGAAAAGGAGATCTGGAATAGGAAATGGACGATGAGACTCTTACACTTCTGTTTTCCTGATACCGGTACCGTATCCCCAGCTTGGAGACGACTTTGTGGCATCCATGGGTGTCTTCAGTGGCCTGTATGATATTCAGCCGGCCCCCTATTCTCCCCTTAAGGAACGTCGCGTTGAGTATGTGGAGCGACGCTCGCAATTTATTGGAACGCATGTGGCGAAATTTTCCTACTGTGATGAGATTGGGGCCTGGACGTTTCGCTGGGAATCCTCGACGAACGATGAAAGTGAATCCTGTGAGAAAGGCTGGGATGCCCGATCTTCACCTACCGACACCTTTGATATCACGGACACAGCCTACATCACCTGGTATGTTCGTGATGACACTGGGAGGCAGGTGCTGCTCAATCCATTTTATTTGACTTGCTTTGATTGCAAAGAGGACTCAGATTGTGGAGGACAAGGCAAGTGCGGCGAAAAGGCTGTGTGCTCCTGTGACAGTGGCCGACAGGGTCTGAGGTGTGAACATGAGCCCTGCACGAAGCTTACCGTGGACTTGCGATCCCAAGAGTTCCTAAGCACCCGAGCTTGGGCAACCACATTTGAGACGGTGCAGGTTTCGGCTGACCAATACGTCGAGAGTTACAACCTTCCCATTTATGTCAAGGAGTATCCTTCAGGTGTCTACGACATCATCTTGTTCACTGGACGGCGCTGGGCTCTAACTTTTTCAGAGGCCTTACCCCTGGGTGGGAGGATCAGTGATGAGGACTTGCATGCAATGAACCCAGAACGTGTTCCAATGGGAAACTCCTCGATTGCGAACTTCTTTAAGTACTTTTTCCATGGCCATGCCGCGAACTATTCCGTGTCCTTCCTGACCGAACCCATGGATGCTGAAAGCTACACAGACTCCAGTACGCCAGTTGGACTTCAATGGTTCACAGCAAGTGGGCACAATCGTTTGGATGAGAATCAGTCACCTACTAATGCGGTCGACACCCGGCTGGTATGCCAGATATGCGACAGCAAGAGCAACCCGTGCCTCTATGATGGGAGATGCGTCGATGGGTCCTGTCAATGTGCCGATCCACCAAAATCGGGTAGTCTCTGCGAGGTCCCTCCTACGAGGAATGCTCATTGTGATGCTTTCTTTAATACACAAGGTACGTGCTTTCTGCGGGGTTCTCGTGTCAGCAGCGATGTGATCTTTCTCAATTGGCTGGTTGTTTCTGCCCTGTCAAGAGTTTGCCCTGGACGGCGGAGATTGCTGCTCTGTGACTTGCTTGAGTACAGCAGAAAACAAATGTGGCGAAGAGGAAAGTGGTCGTGTGAGCTCAGGAAACGTGCACTGCAGATTGCCCCCAAACCAATGGCTAGCCCATGGCAATCCGCTGATGGGAGAAGAAGGTGCAAACTTAGGTAGCGCAGTGGCACTCTCAAAGAGGGGAGATGTTCTGGTTGTCGCAGCAACCGGAAACAATCGAATCAGGTTGTACGACAGGGATGGCGCAGATTGGGTCGAGCGGCCCCAATCCATTCTGCTTGGTGATATCGAGGTGGAACACATGTCTGTGGCGAGCAACCCCCGTTACCTTCTGGACACATCCACTTCCCTCACCCCCCTCGTCGTCGCTGTTCAAGGCTGCGGATCCGTCGTGGTCTTTTTTTGTGAAATCAGGCGTTGCACCGAGACAAGCGTATTCAAAGACGCTGTCGCAGCGGATATTTCCGATGATGGTTCCACTGTTGCTGTGGGGTTGAACCATCCGTCTCGAGTAGAGGTGTTTTCGGTTGACTCCAGTGGAGACTTTCGGCCTCTGCCATTCTCGTCTCCAATTCCAACTAAGCGGGATGAGTCTGGCCACCTTGTTGTTGCCCTGTCGGGCGATGGCATGGTACTAACTGTTGTCGATGAGGTCGAAGAGGAAGGGTTTTCCGTTTTTGAAGGCGGCGGTGTGTCTGGTCAGCGGTGTGTCTCTGGTAGTTCGTTTTCACGACAAGAATGTTGTGCGAGGCATTGGAGGGGGTGGGTGCTTGAATACAACGGAATCTCTTACATCCAACGAGGGCAAGATCTATTCAAGAAGGTGATTGGATCCTCTTTCCGGTTAGAATCAGTTGCAATGTCACGCGATGGAAACTCTGTGGCACTGGAATTGCCTACGGGCTCCATCGAGACAGTGAAGACTGCCCGAGTGTGCTCTCCTGACGATGAAGAATGCGATCCTCTAAACCCAGGATCGACAATCTCCCACAGATGCTCTTGCAGTTCCAACATTGTTGTCATGTTTTGGGACGGCTTGAATTGGATGCAACAAGGATCCATCCCGACCAACAACGGTGGTTGCGGGTACAACAGGACGTTTGCTTTCGATGGATCTATGCTAGCTGTTGGTCCAAGAAAGGGTTATCATCAGAGCGCTTGCGAAGTGTCCAGGTCAGACATAAACATATTCACTTTTTTGCCGGGGCAACCTGCTCCTCCAACAGCTGCCCCAACAACCGGCACTGGCGTCGCGCCTATTGAAGTCTTCGAATGGAAGGGTTCGTCTTGGGCGCGGTTGGGGGAGCCATTGCCCGCTTCTTCTGAGTCGGTGTCCTTGGCAATCTTTGGAGGGCTGGACTCGGTTCTAGCTGTTGGCTTGCCCGACAGCGGGATCAATCGTGCGGGAGCCACAGAGGTTTATTCGCTGATTCAGAAATGCCCTAAAGGCTCATCCCGACTTCGATTGTCTTTACATTTGCATGACGAGCCGCAGTGGATATCCTGGAATGTCATGAAGAACAGCACCAGATCCATCGCAATGGCTGGTGATGGCTACAGTGAATCAAACCGAAGAATGACAACGATGGACGAAGCTTGCGTGGCAAGAGACGAATGCCACGTTCTGACGCTGAAGTACGGGCCGGTCGGGCCCTGTTTTTCACCGCAAATCACAAGAAACTATGGAACGTTGCAGTACGATCTGTTTCTAGGGGATTTGAGAGTCGAGAGTGACTCGTTGAACGATGGTTGGCTGAAGCAAGTTTCTGTTGGGGCTTGTTCAGCCTGCCCTGCTCGAAAGCAGCTCCTCAAGGTGCTGGTCTATGCTTGCATTGAGGCTCACTGGAGTGTCATCGACTCCAGGGGTATGGAAGTTGCATTGTCTACTACCAAAGTTGCAGGATCAGCCAAACTGCTTTCTGAAGATGCTTGTGTCTCCATTGATGAATGTTATTCCTTTACCCTCACGACAGCACAGGATACTTTGGGAACTTCGGTCTGGTTTTCCATTTACCTAGGCGATGACTTAGTAGCGAACCGGACAATTGAAGAAGGCTCTGCGCTCAATAGCAACATCCGATTTGGGTCAGCTTGCACTAGCGCTGCAGCATTCCCGCCCGCTTCAACAGTTCCATCAGTGCCACCAACTGAATCATCACAACCAACACAGTCATCAGTTCCAACGTTTGGCCCTACAAAATCATCAGCGCCAACAAGTATTCCAACAACAGCGCCAACTCCCACTGCACCAACTGTAACACCAACTGGAGTCCCTAAAAACGTTTGCTTGGTGGTTACCATGCATGCAGACAGCAACTTGGAGTATTGGTTGAGGCAGGACTACAAGGAACTTTCTCTCTCTGCTGCCGTAAGAAGCCCGAATATTCGAACCTGGGTGTATTATGACTCGGGTCAAGGCGGAGAAGGCCTCCCCAACACCGTTGATGCAGATGGCATCACTACTACAGGTGCTACTTTCGTTGGGAGCCGCTATGTCACATTTGATCGAAGCATCTGGACGATGAGAGAAGAAGTGCGGTTACCCAAAGAACAAGACTCCAGCAATGCAACAACGATTCAGAGCTTTCTCGAGTATGCGCTGGGGGATTGTCTTGCTAACGGGTTTGATGATCTGATGATGGTGTTTTCCGGCTCTTCAGGTGGTGCTGCTGGCTTTGGAAGCGACGACAATGGCCCGGTAGTAGGGAGGCTGTTGCCCAATTCGAAACTTGCTTTTGCCATTCAGAGCTCCCTGGCAAACACAGGGGGGCCAGACAAGCTTCAAGTTCTAGGTTTTGATAGTGTGTTGATGGGGGCGTTGGGAGCAGCCGATGACTACCTGAATGTCGCAGAATACCTTTTGGCAAGCCAGTCAGTGACTCCTGGACATGGTAAGGGTGATCTGTGCAATGCAGTTCATGGGATTTGGAAAACGATGCCTAATGACGCACTTACTTCATTTCTTCCTCTCATAGGATGGGCTTATGGGAAGCTGGGGCCAGCATCGTCCGCACTGGAGCTGGCGACTCAAATTCTCGACACCTTCCTATACGAAACTCAAGGTTCCAGTAGTCACCAAAATCCTAAGACCTTGTCCATTGTGGAAATGGCAAAATTTCCAAGCTTCTTGGAGGCCCTTGAAACGCTCTCAGAGCGCCTGCATGCTCTCTTGCAGTTAAATGATGTCAACGCGATATCCATCATTTCCAGAGCCCGCACTTGTGCTGTTGCTTTCGGAAACATTTTGGACCCTCCTGGCGCTCGACGTCCATCGGCGATCGACATTGGTAGTTACCTTGTCAATCTGATGGCTGGGGAATGGGGCGACCCTTTGGTTCTCTCTGAAATTGTGGCAGCCAAGGCAGCATATGACAGTATGTTTGTGCAAAGAGGTTTTGGCCCTGGCACTCCTTCCGCCACTGGGATGTGCCTTGATTGGCCGCAGCGAGAAGTCTATCAGGAAGACAAAGCTCTTTATGATCTCTTCCTTTTCCACCACGAGCACTATGCCACCACTATTGCACCAAATTTCTATGGATTCCTTGCTTCGTTCCTTCGGATGGATCCTTTCATCAACAACTCTACGGAGGTGCAAGCATGTGCAACAACAGAGGCCAGCGAAGAAGAGAACATGTCACATCAAACAATTGGTTGGCAATGTGCAGCCAATGAGTCGCTCTTGGAGGTGGCGCTGACGCCAAGTAACAGTGGAGTTGCCTATGATTTTCTAATGCTTGACAACGAAACAGGAACTTTCGAAAAGATCTCTTACCGCAACGATGATTTCAACTACTCTGTTGCCGAGATCATACCCATTGGTTGCGTTGGCACAACTGATCGATGCATTTTCCTCGAGGCGTCGCACTTGGAAGTTCTATACTTTCCCACGGCTTCAACAGCTGGGCGTATTGTCATTAGTGTCGACATTACGTACAGGATAGGTGGCACGGGTGACATCCCTGCATGTCCAACTGAAGCAGAACTCGATTCGCTGTACAAGGCGACGATCGAATTCTATCAGCAAGTTTTCTCTGCCAGTTTCAACAAGACTTACGCCGGCCTCATGGCAGTGAAATTCATAGAGAGGAAGGTGCCTGATGGATTGAACACCAACTTTCTGGCTGATGTTGACTTTACGTTTCTGCCAACTACTGATGACGTGGTGCTTGCGATCGAGAACGCCGGCTACACGACACTGATCATTGAGAAAGTCTTGCCTATTGGACCCTACTTTTCATCCGTTTTAGGTCTTGATCTTGTTGCCAGGGCTAGGGTTTTGAATGAAGATAAACCAGCCCCACAGAATCGAACGCCCGGTCGTGCCGGAGACCAATTCGAAGTTCTGTTGGATGGAGTTGTATTTGACACAATTACTGTGGGTCATGGGAAGGTCTACATTGGGAATTGCCTGGCATGTCCAAACGGCACCACGTTGTTTGATATTGACATCTTTGCCTGTGCGCAGACGACTTGGAGTCTTGTTGATGATTCTACTGGAGCTATCTTGTACGACAGCGACACGGTTCATGGCACCTTGTACATTGAAGAATTGGGTCCAAGTTCCAGTTGCAATGGTACTGGTCCACTGCGTTTCTATTCGAATGAGTTCTGCCTTCCAACAGAGACATGCTACGTCTTTGGTACCGAGTTGGACTTCAGTGGCTCGTCCTACAACTTTACTGAACAATGGGTTGGCTTTGGAGACCATGAGGCTTTTACCAAGGAGCCGGGCTCCGTCTTTCTCGGCAACTGTTCCTACAAATTTAACGGCACCCTCGAGTGAGTGTGTCCCGGCTAATCCCGCTTGGTTGAAGTCCACGGGAGTGGACTCACTTGCAACATCCGTTTTTTCGTTTTATTGTCTCGGTTTAGAGGTTCCTTTTTTCCTGCTACCAGGTACTAGCTAGCTTAGTAGCTATTACAGTAGCTACCTGGGGCCGCTTCCGTTCCTTCCGTACGATAGACAGGCTCCTGTGAGCGTGGCTTGCAAATGCACCAACAGGATGAACCCCTGATTCCAGATCACTATGACTACTTAACGATTTGGATTTACTGTTCTACTTTGTATCGGTCAATCCGGCATTGTGTGAGAATGAATGAATCCAAATGTGATGAGGGAAGCTAAAAGTCCAAGTATAGAGGGAAAGTGTCAGCTCGGACATGACAGAGCAAACATGGTGACGGAGACGTAACTAGGAAATGACTACCGCAACCACGCAGATTAGCGAAGCTGCCGTACATGTACTGATATGTGCGGATACAGGAGGCTTGCATTATGTCCTTGGCAATGCAACTTCTCTGTTTCATGTTGTCCATCCTGCCGTGCAGTACCATGCTTACCGGTACGTAGCTACCGGTATCGGTACCGTCCTTCCAAAGCATTAATAAAAGAACGGCAAGGACTTTAACCCTAACTCAAAAGAGCAATGCTCTGCCGACGCCTCCACACGGCGGAGTGACAGGACCGTTGTGGAAATCTTGAATCGTGGGTATTTCGCTGAGAGACTTAACACTTCTCCTATAGGAGACGTAAGCTACTTAGGAGACATGGTTTCGAAATAGGAGACGTATCCTAAAATAGCAGACTTCGCTTATTTATAGGAGACGTCTCCTAAGCAATAAGAGACGTACCAGTGTTAACTACCCGGTATTTAAGTCTTTAATAGGAGACGTCTCCTAATAATTAAGAGACTTCTCATTTAAATAAGAGACGTCTCCAAAAATAGGAGACGTTAAGTCGATTATAGGAGACGTGCACGTCTCCTATTAACGACTTAGGAGAACTACCCACGACTAAATCAACATTTCCACAGAGGTCCAGTCATAGTCGAGTGACATCACTCGAGACAACATAATAAGATTTAGAGAGGCGTACCGGTTCGTACCACGCTCCTTACAACATGCCCTCCCTCCTCAACTTGGCTCTGATCCTGGTGCCCTGCTCACTCCATCGATTGCTGGCCTCGCGTTCCTGCATGCATCCTGCATGCCTTCCCCTCTCTGCCTTTTCTGAGATTTAGGGGGGGTCAGGCAGCAGCGCGGGGAGGGAAAAGAAAAAAGAAAGGGAGAGGGTTATCAGTTGGATTCCCAATTCCGACGTTGAGAGCATGCATGGCATGATTCAGTCATAACTGCCACGATCAAACAAACAGAACTACTTATTAAAGAAAGTAGGGGAGAAGGCAATGACCCTCTACGTCTTTTATATAAAACAGACATCTCCCACATTGGTAAGACATCTGAAGAACAACAATATGTCATCAACTACGTCACAGCGAATACGTTGGTTCGATTTGAATTCAAATCGTGCAACAGATACTGACTCGCTCTTTTCCCAATCCTTCGCTCGCACAGTACCTTCCCATTTCCTCCGATCTCTGTTGCATTTCGAACAGAACGATCGACGTCTGTTGCCTCGAAACCAAACAGATCGCGACTATGAGGATCGCAACTACTCCTGTGTTCTCCAAGTGGCTACTGAGTGTCAATGATGCATACCCATTCAATGAGCTGAGGACCACAAGGAATGGATTCACTTGCAAGTACATCATTGTGGAAGAACAAGAGCCCCACCTCACCAACTACCAGAAGTTTCATTGTTGGCCCACAAATGAAGTGCCCGATCTTGAGGAGTTAATATACCAAGGAGCATGCAAGCCTCTTCCTCCTGACATGACAAGCATCATGGATTACATGTTTGAGTGGGGTCTTCAGAAGAGTCCAAAATGGTACAGTGCTGTTCTCTCCACCCTTTATGAAATGCTGGAGGGGCCAGAACGATGTGAAAGGAAGGATATCTTCATTGAGTGCATCTATTGGTTAGTGAGGGAAATGATTACTACCAATAAGAGCTATGACTTCTACTTCAATGAGGGACAGATTGTGATGGATGCTTGGCGTGGGTATTGTTCCCACTGGTATGACTACAACAACCAAATCTCCTTCAAATATTGACTTTGATGAGTGAGACTTTTGTTGATGATTGCATTGAAGACATTCACAACCTTGGATTCTTGCAACCACACCATGCTGTCCATTGTGGAACTTTACTGTAAGTTAATGGCTATCTTAGAAATGGATTTGACGCATCTAAATATTTATTGCTGTTATGCCAGATATCCATTTAATTGAGTTCGACAGGTGGCATCATGAGGTGGTCTTCCTCTCCTATGCGTCAACCAGTGGCAGTATCTCTGACAACAGCCATTCGTTGGAGGTGACTGGAAAGGAGATGGCTGTATAGGTTGGAATTGCTACATGTGTAAGCTGAGTTGCATCATTTGAATCTGTTGTTGTTGAAATCGTCTAAGAAGCCTGATATGACCTTTGGTCAAGATAAGGGGCAAACAGTAGTAGGTCAAAATTTGACATAGACATGGTCTCGTCTTACAAAGGATTATGTCCAAGGTAGCAATATGGACCTTTTCCCCCAATTCAGAAGGTGAAGCTTGGATTCCAGCACAGAACAGAAATCTAGAATCAGGACGAAAGCAAGCCACTTAGCAACTTTTCAGGCAGCCAGCTTTCTGCCTACGTTCTTCAATTCAGAAGGTGTTTGTCATGTGCACTGTGTAATTTCGGCAGAAAGCCAACTGCCAGACAAATTGCTAAGTGGCTGACCTTCCTCGTGAAAAAGAGGAGATCAGCTGGTTATTTTTGCACCCACACCACTTTCCGAAACTGTACATCTTGACCTTTTGGTTGGGACTTGCCTATTAGTGGTGCTGTTTTGGTTGCACGTGGAATGCAATCTGTACAAGGCCCCGTATTTTAAGCATGTGTTGGTCATGATATGTTATTTTCCATGACCCGTTCCACTACGTTTTAAATCCTAATTTCTCCTAGTATGTTATTATTTCAACTCTATTTTTCTTCTAATTTGTAGTCTAAGGTTCTTACCATTCTGTATTGCGCACGGCTGATCTACAACAGAATGGTCCTGATCACT